TGAAGTCCTTTGTGAGACTAAGTAAGATGGCAGGAGATTTCATCACGGTGCTCAGAAAGGCATGCAATTTAAAACTTACGAAGTATTTCTGGAATTTTCCATTAAATAGTTTCAGACCAAGATTGACAGCAGGTAACTGAAACCACAGAAAGTGAAAACAAAAAAAAGAAGGGGGACTACTGCATCACTAATACTTACCTTCATCACTTACATAAAAATACAGCCTCAACAAAAGAAAATGACAGCCAATAACTGTCTAAATAGATGTGTGAGTGAATAGATTATAAAACTGTAGAAAAGTAAAATTGCAACTAGAAGTTTACTTCAAGGAAATAATACATGACTCAGACCTCAGCTTCTCCATGTACTACTTTTATGACTGAGGATATGGATGCTTATTTCTTGACTGTCAAATGGGGACCATAATACACAATGGTCACATCCACTGAGAGGATCAAGCAAGGTAGCACGTACAGGGCCCAGCACAGTGCTGGACTTCATCCTCCTCAGCTCCCCTGTCRTGTAGTCTATCAACAGAAGTTAGAGTCCACAATGAAAAACAAGGACATCAACAAGAGAGGGAAGGGTACTAGGAGCCACAGGAAAAGAGAAGGCAGAAAATGGCAAAAGAAGACCTAGAGCAGGGCCCTTGAGTCCTTCCCACTACTTCACCTGGCAAATTGTCCACTTATAAAAGCCATAAGGCTTTCGGCTGGCTAAAAGGAACAWAAAATTCGGATGAAGTCAGAATATTTGAAACTGAGGCTGGCTCCCAAATTCCAACATGGAAAATTAATTGAGTCATTAGTTAATAGGCTCAAGACACCCCTACGAGAAGGTGTAAAGTAACTGCTTTCAAAGGAGTTAACATTTTCAGAGCCGCCTCCTCTCCTCTCTACCACACTGCCTAACAAAGGGAAGGGGTGCATTTTTTTAATTTGTTTTTTTTTGTTTTGGTTAGGTTTTTGGATTTGGGTTGTTTTTAAGGCCAGAGTAAACAGCAAGACAGGCTAAATATAACAGTTCTGTGGACTGAAGCCTACTTCTTTCCGTAGCTTTCAGTAGTTTGCACAGGACTGGGAGCAGGGGAAGGTTTGCAGTATTCCTAGTCAATGGATATTTTCCAGGCATTGCTGGGAAATCACTGTAAACTGTAGGGGCAGAGCAAGGAACAGAGGAAATTTCAGGTCTGGGGGAGGTGCATCTTGCAGGATTCTGAGAACAATAGGCACTTACTAACCCCCTTTCCAGCTAGCAAGTAGCTTGGAAGGCCTGGCTTAGCTTTCCAGGTCTTGGAATTCTGGAGGCAGAAGCTAAAGAACAGAACAATCTGCCACATGGATAATCAGTCCTGAAAAAAACATCTCCCATATCTAACCATGTCAAACTCAGCCATTCCAACTCTTAAAAGACAACTACCCTCCCCCACAAAAAAAAAGGGGAAGGAAAGCAGTGACTGCACCACACGGTAGAGATMTAAAACTAAAAACGCACAGGATTCTAACTAATTTTGTGCTTCTCAGCAGACGTGTAAGCCTGTCAYAGGCAAAGGTGACAGACATGCTTCAGAAAAACCACGTGTTGCAGGTTGAATAGAATGCACATTTCACAAGAATCCCAAAGCTTAATTGCTCAAGGTTTGTAAACATTTCGCAATGTACATTACCACTAGAAGCCCCAGGATTTTTAGCGTGCATGATGAAAGTGTCCAAATGTTAGCATCAACCCAAACAGAATTTATTAACATCTTGAGAAGTGTGCCCCATCCTAGTGGGTGAGTCCTTAGAGAACTGTACTCTGATGTGACTTCTGCATTTAAGAAATGCATGCTGGTTTGTGTTTGTTTGTTTTTTCTTTTCAATGGACAAACTCGTGCTCTTAGGATCCTGGTAAGTCAAAGGCACTAGAGTTAGAAAAATAAAAGACACTGACTCTGCCCTCCAGGTATTCACAGTCTGGTATTTCTGTAAGTTTTCTCTTTATTCTATATCAACTTACAATTTTGACTTATTAGCTAGCATTTATCTATTCTAGCACGRCTTAAACATTTTCATGGTGTAAATTATACTATTATTTCTTCTCTAAATAACCACTTTGTTAACAATTATCTGAAAGCAACTATTTGGTGCTCAACTCTGCATGGACTGAATTAATTTAAATGCAAAATGTGTCTGAATGAACTCAAACAGCCATCCAGTATTTATTGAGATCCATGACACTGGGGGAAYACCCTTCTCTGGGTTATAACTAGATAATTCCCTGGAGGCCAAATGTCTCTCATTGCTGAGCACTAGTGGAAAACAGGATTGTGCTCTTTCACCTAAAAACATTCTTACCTACTAGGCTATGAGATTTGATTCTCACACTTACTTTCTCCACTACTACTACTACTACTACTAGTACTCACACAAACACACACACATAAACACACCTCTACTCCCTTCCTCTAGGTCAGAATGGAAAAAGAATCTTTCTGACTATTTTGCCTAAAATTCTGGACATAGTTACATTTATGGAATCAGGCTTCTGACTGGTGTCATGTTGTCACTAACAACATGTGCCACTGGTCAAGTCTCTTCTTCTGTCTAGGCTGATAGATGACTACAGAATCCCATACTTTAAGCATGAAATGATGGAAATGGTGTCTTGTATTTCAGTAAGAATGGAGTCAACTGTTGGTTTTGTGTGGTCATCCATTGCCCCAAARTTCCAGTTTTTATAAACACAAGGATGACAGTTTTTTTAGGAGTAGAAAGAAGATTCACCCTTTTATCCTGGTGTTGTCCCACTGACATGTACAAAGGAAAATAAGCCTTATCTTCTCTCTCTCTGCATTTTACTAAGGAATAATCCCAAAGCCCAAATTTACTCCAAAGGAAAACAAGATTGTATGAAGAATAGGAAAACATGAGTGGACATAACCTGTTTGAGACCCAGCTTTATGTTCTTTCCTGCTTCACATTGAACTATTAACTGTGCAAGAAGCACATATTTTCTTTTCTCCAGCAACTGCTCTTTGAATAACAGGTTTGAGCTTCTAGGGCCCCACCCCATCTTTTAACTCAGCCAAAGAACACTCTGCTGCAACTGACCCAACAGTGCTGGAATCTGCCAGGGAAGGAAAGCAAATATTCAGAAAGTGCCACCTGCCAACCCTCCTCCCCCAAACAACCCTCAGCCCAACTTCCATTTAAGCCAGCTCKCAGCCCACGCCCTAGCAAAGGATACAAAGTGATGTTATCAAACCMATGTTCTCAGTGACTGAAAATTTACAGAGCAGGAGGAATCTCAGCAAGAAATGAGAAGATAATCTTCTTGGCTGATGAACTTGAAAAATAATGTACCACCACAACATTAAAATGTTCATTGGGTTTTCTGTAATTTTAGTTTAGGAGCTTATTCTTCTGAAAAGTTTAGAAAATGTAAAAACAGGAGCTTTTAAATCCAAAATATACATATTATATGTATACTGTATACATATATGAAAAGTATATATAGATACAGGTATATAGCATCAACATATATTTTATCATATAGCCATGTGCTCTAAAATACTGAGTAAAAAGTACAGAGAGAATTTTTAATTATTTTATTTTTAGCAGTACTAGGGATTGAACCCAGGCCTGTGCATGCTAGACAAGCCCTTCTACCACTGAGTTACATTCCCAACCCCAGATAGAAATCTTTAACCAACCTTTCCTGGTTCTCTGTTCTCTGTACAGTAATAATCATAAATATCAATAGAGATCTGAAAATGGAATAACTGAGTTTTAGGATTTCTGGAAGATAGTAGTCTCAAGATTCTATTTGCAKAAAAAAATATAGATAAAGATAACCTTCAATGAGCATCTACTAATATCAGGCAGTATGCTTAGTAGTTGATACACATCAACTTAGCTAAATTTCAGAAAACCCAAGAAATGAGTCTTCTTTTCCTCATTTTTCAGGTGGTGAAACTGAGACTGAGAAGGGTTGAATAACTTGGCCCAGGTGATTCAGACAATCTGTTGGAAAGCAGGGATTTGGCCCAGACCACCTTACTTCAACAGCTAAGAGCTTAATCACTTCTTCCCAAAGAAGAATTCTAAAAACTGTATCTCCTATTTGAAAAAAGATCACAAAGTCAATGTAGCATCTTTTCCAACGGTCTACACATCTGGCTATTCCAAGACGTTTACACTAAGGATGTCTTTTTAGGTGTGAATTAAAATGTCTTGCTGTCATAATCCCCATCCATCTGATTCTAGTCGACCTAACCTACAGCTCCACAAAAAGTGATCAACTAATTCCCCATAATTGGCCATTCCAGAGGTTTAATATTATTACCATATAGCCATATGCTTTAAAATTATCCTCCATGTATGAGACCTGTTTTTCAAAATTATGCCAAATCCATTGGCAGTTTTAGACCCTGGACATTTCAAAATACTTGATAGCACAGATTCAGCAAAATAAACCCTATTGCTTTTCCCCAAACATGTAAAACAAATATCCCGTGATTCTACAAATTGGAAAGACTGCAAACAGAGCAAGTAAACATTCTGGAGGTCCYGAGCAAGGAAATGGTTGTTTTCTTCTGGCAGTCACACAACAAGTGGCGAGAAGATAAACATCAGTGCCATCAGCCTCTTCCAGATCCAACTGTGAGAAGTCCATCAACCAAATATTTAACATGTAGTATTTACATTCACTCCTCTTTAAAGGACTCTTTCTTGTTTTTTCTTTCCCAACATCTCAGCAGGTGTTCCAGATTAAACTGTTGAATATTATACCCGATCCTTCAAAAAGTGTCTTTGATGTGATCGGTGGCTGGTTATTTTTTAATTAGGGTTTGAAATCCTAYACTGTGTGTATTTAACCCCCTAAGAACCGGAGCAAGAGAAGGAAGACGCTGCTAAGAGAGGGGTGCCCGGTGGGTGGGCATGAAGGGAGCATTGGGATCCAGACCCTCAGCMGCGAGCGAGCCCTGCTTCCAGCGCCTCCTTGCGCAGGTAACTCACCAGGATGCCCATCACGTCGGTCCAGAGTCGGGAGAACGCCTCAGACGTGCCGGCGTCCAACGCTGGCTCTCTCTCCGGCTCCRGCTCAGGCTCCGGCTCCTGCTCAGGCTCTGGTTCGGGCTCCGGCTCGGGCTCGGGCTCCGGCGCAGGGCCAGCCGCTCCCGCGTCTTCCTCCATGGTCGCGTCCCGCGCGCTGGCCGTGCGTCCCGGTGGCCGCTGCGCCCTCGCCCAGCACCAGTGCGCAACCGTCCGAGGTGTAGGGTCCCGGGCTTTGGCGTCACGGAGCCTCGCCCCCGCGCAGCATGCCCAGGCGGCCCCCCGCCAGTCCGCGGGGCCCTCGGAGGCTTCAGCACCTCGGCACTAGGTGGCCGCGGGCAGCGCGACTGACAACTCCTGAAACTTTCCCGACTCGACTCGGCTCAGCAACAGGGTAGCAGGAGCAAAGTCCGCACCACTGAGTGCCGCGGCGGGGAACTCGCTCAGCCCAGAAGCAATGAAACGCACGGCCAAGGCGTTGCTTCCTGTGACGGGGACCGGCTAACTGCGACACGCGACTCGTTTCTGCCAGCAAGTCTGGGCAGGGCCCCGCGGGAGTGACGGCGGCGCCTCGGGACCTTAGAAGCCACTGCCCGGGACCCCTCTCTTCAGAATGAGCTCTTCCAGCTCCACRTGACTCTCTCCCCTCCGGGCTCAAGAAAGCGTTTAGCAACAAAAGGTGCTCTGATGTCAGGCTCTTTGCATGGAAATGAGCCACGGGCAGGAGAACAAATCGCCTGTTGAAAGAGCAGCAGAGCCGCGGCCACCGGCCCGCACGAGTTCCCAATCACGCCATGCACCCGCAGGCTTTTGGCCCCCAGAAACTTCAGAAAGTTGATCTTTAAGCTACTCCTGCCGAAAGAGTTCCCAAATAGGCAGAGTCGTTACGATCCACATCTCGCCCCTTGGGGAAGTCGGGCGACCTAAAGAATTACCACCCTGCCCCTATCAGCAGCTGAAAAACGTAGCTGAAAAACAAGTGTGAATGTTTGGGCACGAGCCATTGTTTGGATCGTTTATAGGAGTAGGGACGTTTGTGCTCCTGAGTGCCACAATGCTATGCACTGCTAGGCTTTCCGCTAATTAGGGGAAAAGCGTTTGGGGTTTAGGGTTCCTTTACATTAAGAACACAGGCAAGGGCTGTTTTCAAAACCAGCTGTTAATGGTTGTAAGCGCTGGGTCCCGTGGCAGACACGGGCCCTGGGTAGGTGTTTTTCCAAGAGGAAGGTCCATGACGGATTTATTTACTGAGGGGAAATAGCCCCATAGAGATTCTTCTTCCTTTTGCAATTCTTCCTTTGAAAACCACTCAGAGAATTTTCCCTAGGAGATGACAATGCTTGGCACACTTGATTTGGTGACTGATCACTTTGTGAAACAGTTAAGAAACTTCAAGAAATCTGTCCCTTGTTAAAGAGTTGGGGAGTGGGGGAGGGGAGCCCAGTGAGGCGCCCCAGGGTGAGAGCCCTTGCTGGTTTCTCTCCTAGTTTCTGTTGTTGTTTTTCCCCTTCTGGGCCTAGTGAAAGTAAGGGGTTAAATCCTCTTCCAAAGCATGAATTGCCAGAAGCACCAACTCATGGGATGACCAAACAGCTCTTGAAGGAAAGTTCAGAACAGTAAAAACTTTCAAAAATAAATTTATGGGGCTGGGAATATAGCTCAGTTGGTTGAGTGCTTGCCTCATATGCACAAGGCCCTCTCTGGGTTCAATCCCCAGCTTTAATTAATTAATTAACCAACTAATTAATTAATTTTGTGGGGTTGAGGATGTAGCTCAGTGGTAGAGCACATCATGAGCCCTGAGTTCAATTGCCAACATCAATAAATAAATTAATTAATAAGCATGATCCCTTGCTTATTAATTTTTTTTGTCCAAATGTATCTTGATGATCCTTTTCTTAAAAAGGAAAGAACAAGAATGAGAAGACTTTCCTTTGATAGTAAGAAAGCACTATGTGAGATGACATAACTTTCTTATGTACATATGTGAGTACACCACAGTAACATTGTGTATGTCTACAAGACTGGAATCCTAATTAGAATAAGATATATTCCATGCTTGTGTAAATATATTAAAATAGATTACATTGTCATGTATAACTAAAAAGAATGAATCAAAATTTAAAAAAAGAAAGAAAGCACTGTGTTGAAGAGAAAGGAGGCCTGGACCATAAGTCAATGTAGCTGACCTGCTTTTCTGGGAAGATGCTGTGTTGAGCCCAATGGGCTTCCAAGGCTCCCTCATGCTCTACCATACTGTGTATGCAAATAAGTTCAGTTAAGGCAGGTGGGCTTTATAAAAATGTCATTTCTATGAAGACATGAAAATAAGCAAATGATAAAAGAGGGTGCTTTATTTTACTGGTATATTTAAAAATTCCAACTTATTTGCTATGTGGTACCTTTTCAAATTCAAGAAAATACAGAGCACTGTGATGCTTGGTGGAAGGGCAGCTTGTTCTCTGCATCAAAACTTCTTGGAATGATTGATGTGATTCTATAACATGTACATTCAGAAAAATGAGAAATTATATCCCATCTATGGATGATATATCAAAGTGCATAAATGCATTCTACTGTCTTGTATAACTAATTAAAACCAAAAAAAAAAAAAAAATTAAAAACAAAACAAAACCTTCCTGGCCAGTGACTGGGAGTAGGGGGTGGAGATAATTGTGCAAGCTGGGGGCCTTATGTGCTACAGTCCTCTCACAACAATCTAAGTATTTTTCTTCTTGACTCAGATAACCTGGGGCAAAGCATTTGACCTTTCCATGGTGCTACAAGTTCCCCATCCTTGTTGAGGCAAGCCCATGGTAATTGCCACCCACCCCCTCGGAGGTGATATTATGTTTCAGGGTCATCTAAAGATAGGCACAATTTGAGAGACAACCCCATACATATCAATATTATTGAACTTTAGCCAGCATTTTAGTACTTACAGAAATCAATATCCAAGGTTTTCAAGCTCCTTTTATACCCTAGATGTTTAAGCTCCTTTTCCTAAAGTTCTCCAATAAGTGGCCAGAAATGAGATAAAGCATATTTTAGGAAGAATGTTGATGCCTATGCATATAATGTGATCTATTATTTTTGCTATATTGCCTACAGTCACTTTTATACTCCTGGAACATAAATAATTTTGTTGTTAATGTAAAAAACATAAAGTTTAACCTTTTTACTTAATTTCCAAACATTAATCAAAGAGCAACCTGATTTCTGTGCCCATGATGGAGTCTTTTCTCCTTTTTTCTAAATTCTTTCAGGGTTTAGACAGGAATCCTCCTCCTCTCCCTCTTCTTCTTCCTCCTCATCATTTCAAAGTCCCATGGGGCTACCATTTACCAAGGGCTTTCTATAATTGCATTATATTCTATGAAGGTGGGGAAGGGCCTCCAAGATTTAGGTCAAGCCAAGCACAGTGTCACGCACCTGTAATACCTGTGGTCTTGGGATGCTAGGGCAGGAGGATAGAAAGTTCAAAGCTAGCCTCAGCAAAAGTGAGGCATTAAGCAACTCAGTGAGATCGTGTCTTTAAATAAAACACAAAATAAGGCTGGGGATGTGACTCAGTGGCTGGTGACTCAGTGGCTGAGTGCCCCTTGAGTTCAATCCTCAGTACCAAAAAAAAAAAAAAAAAAAAAAAATCTAACTCAAATCCAAGTGAACACAGCCATATGTGGGCAGTCAGAGAACAGAGAACAGCATGATCATTTTACAAATTCTTTCATCAATCATGCTACATTAATTCCCATGAAGATGGCTATACAGACATCCATCTCTCCCACTTTCCCTTACCATCAGGGTTCTTGACCAGTTTGTTGGACTTGTGAAATCATTCTGTGGGTTCTGATGAATGTTTATTTTAGCAGATGAACAAAAGAATATCAGAATGAATTTATTGAGAATTTTGATAATGTAGTGATTCTCAATAAGTATTGTTTATTAGAAATAATTATCTATCATATGCATGTTTATTCTGGCTGGCTTTGTAAAAAGTTGTTCTTACTATGGGTTAGGATCACAACATATAAAAGCCACTAATCTAGCCGGGGATGTGGCTCAATGGTAGAGTGCTTACCTAGCCTGTGCAAGGCCTTATGCTCAACTTTCAGTACTAAAAAAAAATATAAAATAAATAAATTTTAAAAATCGCTAGTCTGGAAATTGGCACACATTTAAGATACTGTTGCAACACAGTTAGGATATTATACAAAAAAGTAACTAGTCTATTATTTAGGAGTAAAGGAACCATTTCATACTATAGAAAGCACACATATAATAGGGCCTGAAAAAAGTTAGAATTGAATTTTCACTGGCGTTTCTATAAGGCAGTGGGCAAGTTATTTATCTCATCTATAAAATGGAGAAATTCCATCTGTTTCACATAGTTCTGAGGTTATCTGGAATCATGCAAGGACCTCTATGAATTAGAACCTCACCCCCTTTTCCCACCCTCTCTTCCTTCCCCACCTAGTCAACCCATGAGCTGAATCTATAAATAGGAAGTTTCCTTGTTCATTCCTGGATCTCTTCCATCACCCAAAGAAGTAATACCAAGCCCTGGAATGTGGTTGCTGAGTAATGGAGTTGGGAGGTTACCTTTGACAAGGTACAGTAGTGACAAGGTACAGAGTGAAGGAAGGTAATGAGAGCAACAATAACAATAGCTGTCATTTACTGAAAACCTACTGTCTACTAGGTGTTGTACTGGAATTTTAGAAGTTTTTCATTGAAAAAAAATATTTTTTTTCTTAAGTACTGGGGATTGAATCCCACCCAGAAACCTCCCAGCCCTTGTTGTTTTTCATTTTGAGACAGGGTCTTGCCGAGTTACTGAGGCTGGCCTCTAACTTGTGATCCTCCTACCTCAGCTCCTGGGTTGCTGAGATTACAGGTGTGCATGCACCAATACACCCAGCTTATTAAGACTTCAGTATTAGCAAAATGGAATTTAGGATTTCCCACCATGATCTAGTACTCCTACCTAGCTTCTTTATATTTTAATCCTCGGTTACATCCATCCATTCATTTGAGGTGCCAAACTCCCACAAATTTCTTCCATCCTTCCCTTCCCTCATCATCATTCCCATCTACATCATGGCTAAAAACTACTGGTCTTCATAAATCTAGGTCAATTACATTCACTTCTCTCCATCTTCACTACCAAGGCCTGAGATCACACTACCATCTCTTTTATGATATTTTATCCCAAACAGTGTTTCTCAAAGTGGGGACACCATCATTAGCCTCACCTAGGAAGTTGCTGGAAATTGAATTTTCTGGCCCTATCTGGAGCCTACTAAATTAGACACTCTGGAAGTAGGACCAGCAATCTGTTTTAACAAGCACCCCAAGAGAGAGTGATAGTGAGAGCCCTTGTAAGATCTGGGCAGGTCAGAA